AGTCATGCATGGATGGATTTTGTTCAAATTTGGTACATACATTAAACATAATAGGACCTTGATGCACGTCTTTTTTTTTCGGATCAAGTTCAAAATGGCCGACTGGCGGCCATTTTGTTAAAGAATTCAGTTCTGGATCCGTATCCAAGACACGTCTGGATTGATCAAGTTCAAACTTCACACACACATGGTACATCATGTCACAAATAGATATGTGCATTTGTTTCATGATCTGCTTAACAATAGCGGAATGATGGCCATTTTAAGGCCGAAAATGCATCAAAATCACGTATTTTCACAATTCCAGAACCGGATCTCAGTCATGCATGGATGGATTTTGTTCAGATTTAGCACAATGTGTTGTACATATGCAGGTGCATTTCGGTCATGATCTGCTTTGAATGTATATGTCACTCAAATATGAACGGAACGGGGACGTGTCATTGACAATGACTTGTTGTATACTGAGTCATTGAATTGGAATAATGGTTCTTTAAATTTAGTTTGTTGTTTTTCTCCATTCAAGGGGTCGTCGCGCTAGCCAACCATTACCAGGTCATGATTCGTGGAAGAAAGTGCTGATACTGGGTGCTGGATATGTAGCTGCACCAGTTGTTGAATACCTTACAAGGGACAGAAATGTCGCGGTCACTGTAGGTAAGAAAATGTCTATTGTGATTGACAATTTCCTTACTTCACAGAATGTGTGCATTCATATTATTTTGTTTTTGCAAACTTTTTGTTCATCAATTATAGAAAATTCAGGAACAAATTTGTATCAACTTTTGGTACAACCATAGAACATTCAATCAGTATTGATCACATTATTATTTTAATATGCCTGAACTGTTGTATGCAGCGTCAATCATCAATTTCTTTAGTTCTGCTGTTATCGTAGATGACAGAGCAGCAATGTTCATATAGGTGATAGTCTGTTGTCGTCCATCTTTTTGAAAACTACCATCTCAGTTGCTTTGATACTTGGTATGTAGATACCTTGGGTGGACCTCTGTCAGATTTGTTCATTTCATGAAAATATATTCAAGTTTCTAGTTTTGGTGAATATTTTTGTCATTTTTGATCAACAATTTTATTTTCTAGAAAGCTTCTACTCTGATTGGTTTGATGCTTGCATTATATGTACCTTAGGTGCAACTCTATTAGCTTAGTTCATCTTTTAACACTAGGGGAGCACTCTACTAATTCAGACATTTCCTATAAAGTGAAGTTGATGAATTCAAAACTTGGGTTCTATCATACTTATCAGTGATATGATCAATGCAGAAGTTGAGATAGAATGTAAAGGAAGTCAAGTTTATTTGTTTTTCCACTACATGTATGTTTATGGGGTGAAAGCAACACTTAATCTGTAAAAGTTTCCTGGAAATTAGTGAAAAGAAAATGAAATAAAAACTTCTGTTGAAAAATTCAGGACATTAAATCACACCATGTACTAACAATTACAGTAACTTTGCATACACTTATTATCACACAACTGTACTCTGCTGAAACCTATTTTGATAAATAATGCTTATTGATTAATTGTTATTTTGTGTACAGGATCTGCCATAAGATCAGAAGCTGAGCGACTAGCTGACAAATACCAGAACACAATAGCACACGATGTTGACGTCCAGAAACATACTGGGTTCCTCAGAAGACTTGTCAGAGAAAATGATTTAGTTATCAGGTGTGTATCATTTTTGGAGAATAAATGTAAGTAAATGGTCAAGGTGTTGTTCTAGTGTGATCAGCTTTTGACTGCTTGGATAATGCACTGACCTAATTTTTAGAATTTAAGACCAGTTTTAGGTAAAAATCTATGCATATTAATTACCTAATTTCCATCAACATCTCAAGTGCTAAACATTTTAATGAATCTTGGTAAATAAATAATTCAATTTTCAGCTTTCCACCTAATCTTGACTCGTGTGTGTGTGTGAAACACACATTGGGAGTCTTTGTAATAAATTTTCTTATTAATATTTGTGAGTGCATACATTTTTGAACTAAAATCTGTACACTCTTTAAAAAAAAGTAAACAAAATCATTTTTAAATTTGTTAAAAATTAGCCCAAATGCAGTGACACATTATCTAATTAGTGGTGGGCATTGGTCTATAAAATTGTAAACAAATATTTTCAAGAAAATCATGTGTTTGATTAATTAATTGATTATATTTGTTTTCTTCAGCTTGCTGCCTTATTCACTACATCCTGTTGTTGCAGAGATGTGTATCGAAGAAAAGACTAACATGGCTACAGCCAGTTATACAACTCCTGCTTTACGCGCCATGGAGCAAAGGTAATATACATAATGGACACTTTATGCTGTGGTTTGTAACTCATCTCACTGATTATTAGTTTAAGAGATGTAAATACCATGCAGTTCAAGTAAAATATGATTTTCAACCATATCTTGATCTCTATAAAATGTTATTATGGATGTTAAAGTGCGATTATGCATTCTTATTTGTGTCCTATACTATGCATACATGTAGCAACATATATGTATGTGGGTTATATGTGCTTACCGATATGCATAGCAACATATGTGTATGTGGGTTATATGTGCTTACTTATACTACGCATAGCAACATATGTGTATGTGGGTTATATTTTCTTACTTATACTATGCATAGCAACATATATGTATGTGGGTTATATGTGCTTACTTATACTATGCATAACAACATATGTGTATGTGGGTTATATGTGCTTACTTATACTATGCATAGCAACATATGTGTATGCGGGTTATATGTGCTTACTTATACTATGCATAGCAACATATGTGTATGTGGGTTATATGTGCTTACTTATACTATGCATAGCAACATATGTGTATGCGGGTTATATGTGCCATTCATAGTTACATTATTGACTGACGTAATCTCATTTTAACTCTATTATCTTTCATGTACCATTTCAGAGCACTAGATGCTGGTATCTCAGTTTTAAATGAATTAGGTGTTGATCCTGGTATTGACCATATGCTTGCTATGAAGTGCTTTCATGAGGCCGTGGCCAATGGTGGAAGTGTAAGTCAACAATATATCAACCTATTTAATTACTTGATTAAAATGTTAACATAAAACAAAAGCATACACACCTACATCTGATCACAAATTTTGTTTTACCCTCTTCAAAGTTGCAGCAGTAGTTAACATCATTCAGCGGAATCCACAAGACGCAGCAATGAGACATACTTACCATTCAAAGAAAAAATCTTTTAAAAATTATGTCAAGAACTTGCAGAAACAACAGAGGAAAATCTTTCATGAGAATATTGACAAGTTGAATTCCAGGACGAATACCCAGGACTTCTGGAAAGTGATTAAAAACTATACGAAAATGAATGTTTGCACATGAGGAATGGATAAAACATTTCCAATTCATTAGTAATAATTCCAACATACCGATAAATTGACAACATGATATGAACATCCAATTACTCAGACAGGAGGAAAACAATAATCACAACATATCTCTAAACAAGGAGATATCAACACAAGAAATTAGTAAGGCTCTCAAAAAATTGAAAACTGGGAAATCTTCAGGAATGGATGGGATTCCAGGTGAAATGCTGAAGTTAAGCACTCCACTGTTAATTACTGCACTTCAAAAATTATACAATCATATCCTACACACGAGATCATATCCAGATATGTGGAATAAAAACACCATTACTCCAATTCTCAAGAAAGATGACCCACTGAATCCAGGAAACTATAGGGGGATTTCAACCAGTAGTGTCTTCGCAATGATACTTAATGGAAGAATCAACAAACATCTTGAAGACATTACGCACTTCATAATTATACTACTGAATGGGGCTTGGAAGTCAACACCACTAAGACTAAGACCATGACATTTTCTAAAATCCAGCAGAGATCTGATGATCCATTTTTTACTTATGGTGACGTGACACTAAACCATATCAAGACATTCACATACTTGGGTGTGACATTAAGCAGCAATGGCTTCCTAAACAAAACTATGGAGAAACTCTCAGATAAGGCTGGAAAAGCAGAACGACTGATGGCTAGGATTTATGATAACAATTCCAACAACTTCAAACTTAAGACCAAACTTTTTGAAATGTTACAACTACCTATTTTACTATATGCATCTGAGTTATGGGGTATATCGGTTAGGACAAAAAAGTGGGACACCACTGTTACTGAAAAAATTCACCTAAAATATTGCAGGCGCATTTTGTAGGCTTGAAACTGGCAGGCAACCTTTAATTTCAAAGATTCAAATTCAAGCTGTCATGTACTACCAAAACATTAAAAACAATGGTCCAATTAATTTTACTTTCCATGCAGTTAAAGAACTTGAAAACAACTGCTATAAAGAATCATGGTTGGAAAAGACATTAACAAAATTAAAGACCTGTATAAATATTGATATCCAGACTGTTTCTAGTAATGTAC